AAGTGTGGAGATCTGGTGATCACTCTTTCGTAATGTGAAGAATATTGTGTCCATTAGTTCCACGAGACGTGATATTAGGAGAATCCATCCCAAGAATATCGACTCTTTCAGTCTCTCATCTGTAAAAATTATAATTTTTTATTAAACTAATTACTGTATATAACTAAACAATTAGCAGAATTAATTTTATTAAAGGAAAATACAATTTCAAAAACTATTAATTGATAATTATCTAATTTGATAATGGTTTTAAAAATTGAGTTATAATGAATAATACAATATATTGATTTTATATTAATTTAGACTTTATTTTTAAACTTTTAAATACTAATGTTAATTAAATGTTAATTAAAAGTTATAAAATAAAATTACCTGATATTGAATGTTTGTGACACATCCAGGTGTCAATACCATAGTTAGTGATCGATAGGATCTTTACAAAGAACCACAGATTGAATAAAGACATCAATAGATTATAATGTCGTATAAGAAAAAGTAAATCAAATGCCGGCCTCTCTTTCATAAGTCTCGGACCAATAGTTTTCACAAAATATAAATAAAAACATATTATGGATAAGAAATTCCAGGGCCCGGACCCCATTAATGGATAACTGGATGAGTAAGGATTGCCATTAATTTTCCAAAAGTTAGTGAAAATATAATTTATAAAAGAAGATTCTTCGTCCATAGTTTCAAATTAAATATTAGACTTTATATTAAATTTAAAAACTATTGAATTAGACTTTACAAACTTTGTATGTCATCTCAAACTCAATTTATATTTCACTAGAAAAGTCTTATTTAAATCTAAATTACTTTATATTTATCGTTGAGTTTATATTCAATTCAATTCTTATGAAGAGTTTGTTATTTAATTGACAAAAATCGGGTTTTTTGGCGAATGATTGCAGAACTAAAGCACTCAAACATAAAGTCTTTTAACTCATTATAAACACAAATCTAATAGTTTTTGTGGAAATGTTTTTTTTACTCAACATTCAGCCAAAATATTTTCCCAAATAAAAAGTACATTTGAGTTGATAAGTAATTAATTTATTTGCAAATATAGAATATACATTTATATTCAATACAATAAACTAATTATAGATNTAAGCTGATTGTTTGGTACTGACAGAATATCTATATACCGTAGCATAAGAATTCAAAGTACTTTTAAACAGTGTGCTTTTTATCAATTTTCTCAATATTCAGAGCACCTTTTACAATTGATCAAAATAATATATTTAATAAAAATAATTACTGTATTAAATTTAATTTGATAATTAACACAAATAATAGTGTATACAGTATTACTGCATTGAAGGGTAATCAGTCTATTTGCTCTTCTAACTAAATTAAGATAAAATTAATTTATCACAAAACTTATGACAAACGATAGAATTTTGAACACATGTGCCGAAAATCATAATATTATTTCAATGTTAAATGCGATCGAAATGTTTCGTGATAGGGGTTATGGTCAACACCTGTTCATCAGTTGTTAACCTCAATATTTGTCGGCTATTAAAAAGTTTAAAATTTAAATCAGATTTACAACAAGTATTATTTAAATTGTTATTTTAAAAATGACATATTATTCATATTACATTTCAGTAATATTAGACGTCTTATACTGTATTTAAATGTAACCTAACTTATTGAAATTATTTTTAAAGATTAAGCTGATTGTTTGGTACTGACAGAATATCTATATACCGTAGCATAAGAATTCAAAGTACTTTTAAACAGTGTGCTTTTTATCAATTTTCTCAATATTCAGAGCACCTTTTACAATTGATCAAAATAATATATTTAATAAAAATAATTACTGTATTAAATTTAATTTGATAATTAACACAAATAATAGTGTATACAGTATTACTGCATTGAAGGGTAATCAGTCTATTTGCTCTTCTAACTAAATTAAGATAAAATTAATTTATCACAAAACTTATGACAAACGATAGAATTTTGAACACATGTGCCGAAAATCATAATATTATTTCAATGTTAAATGCGATCGAAATGTTTCGTGATAGGGGTTATGGTCAACACCTGTTCATCAGTTGTTAACCTCAATATTTGTCGGCTATTAAAAAGTTTAAAATTTAAATCAGATTTACAACAAGTATTATTTAAATTGTTATTTTAAAAATGACATATTATTCATATTACATTTCAGTAATATTAGACGTCTTATACTGTATTTAAATGTAACCTAACTTATTGAAATTATTTTTAAAGATTAAGCTGATTGTTTGGTACTGACAGAATATCTATATACCGTAGCATAAGAATTCAAAGTACTTTTAAACAGTGTGCTTTTTATCAATTTTCTCAATATTCAGAGCACCTTTTACAATTGATCAAAATAATATATTTAATAAAAATAATTACTGTATTAAATTTAATTTGATAATTAACACAAATAATAGTATATACAGTATTACTGCATTGAAGGGTAATCAGTCTATTTGCTCTTCTAACTAAATTAAGATAAAATTAATTTATCACAAAACTTATGACAAATCATAGAATTTTGAACACATGTGCCGAAAATCATATTATTATTTCAATGTTAAATGCGATCGAAATGTTTCGTGATAGGGGTTATGGTCAACACCTGGGAAGTACTCACACTTATCATGGACCTTAGTGTACCAATATTTGTACCTATATAAAGAATTCACAGTCGGTTTAAGTAAACTAATATAGTCAAGAAAATGTTGAATATAGGCTATTGTTTGTCGGCTTTATTACTGGCGGTGAGTGTGAGTGCGGACACACCGGCCAACTGTTCCTATGAAGAGATTCGTGGCGTTTGGGAGTTCTCGGAGTCCGTCAGGACTGCCAACAGGTCCGAGAAATGCGACCTAACAGTCAAATTGGTTGATAAAATCAGGATTGAGTTGCAATACCCCAACACAGCAGTGGATCACTTGGGGAATAGAGGTTTGAAAAAGACATTTATGTCACCAGTAATAGTCATACTTATGAAAACTTATCGCCTGCAGGCACATGGACTCTGATCTATAACCAGGGCTTTGAAGTGATAATCAACGATAGAAAATATTTCGCATTTTCTGACTATAAACAGGTTGGCACCAAAGTGACCAGCATTTGCAACCAGACCAGCGCCGGCTGGTCTCACGATGTGTTGGGCAACAACTGGGCCTGTTATGTGGGACATAGGGTTACCGGAAATCATGCCGAGAAAGTCCACTACATCGAAGATACCGAAGCGCTCAGTAACGGTGTGTTCACTCAGCGCCCGGAAGCCATCGACAAAATCAACTCAATTCAGAGCCTATGGACAGCCGAACACTACCCCGAGTTTGAGGGAAAGTCGTTGAATGAAATGTATTTAATGAAAGGCGGACCCAACTCCAGAATTTTCGGGTTTGAATTTTTATAAACAACTAATTTTTAGCAAATTCATAATTTTGTAAATTAAAAACTATATTTTCTATGTGTAGTTATCCATCACCAGCGCCGGTATCTGATGAGGTGCTCCGTCAGGCAAACGAATTGCCCGAACAATTCGATTGGAGAAACGTTAGTGGAGTTAGTTTTGTGACACCCGTTAGGAATCAGGGTTTGTATCATATTATTAGACACTTTTCATATGATTTCTAAATATAAACTCCAATCGAAATGAATAGGCGGTTGTGGCAGTTGTTATGCCTTCTCCTCTGTGGGTATGATTGAAAATCGTCTCCGAGTCCAGTCCAACAATACCCTACAAGTGGTCCTAAGTCCTCAGGACGCCACCACCTGTACCTTCTATAGCCAGGGATGTGCGGGTGGTTTCCCATACCTGATCGCTGTTAGTATTAATTAACTATAAATATAAAACGACAATTTGTTATATAACCACGTATTTCAGGGTAAATACGGTCAGGACTTCGGTCTGACACCGGAGGCAAGCTTCCCATACGTGGGTCAGGCAGCCAGTTGTCAAACCAAAAAGGATGCAGCCAGGTACTACACCGGACACTACAACTATGTGGGCGGTTATTACGGCGCCTGTAACGAGGAGTTGATGCGCTTGTCTCTGGTAAGGGACGGACCCCTCGCAGTGTCCTTCCAAGTGTGGGGTGACTTCCAGTCCTACAAAAAGGGAATCTATAAACACACTAAAGTGAGCCACGAGTCGGACAAACCCGAGTTCCAGCCCTTCTATGAGGTCAATCACGCGGTGCTGGCCGTGGGTTACGGTGTGGAGAACGGCCAGAAGTACTGGATCGTCAAAAACAGTTGGGGCGCCACTTGGGGCGAGAGCGGGTATGTTGTAATCCAGGTTTTCTGAGGGTTTCCTTGGATCACAACTGAGGAATATTCCTTTGCGCAGAGATTCTGGGTTTATAACTAATAGTTTAAAACTATAAGGAATTTTCCTAATAAATAATAATTATGAATTTCCCATTACAACCAGGTACTTCCGTATCTCAAGGGGTAACAATGAGTGCGGGATTGAGAGCATCGCCGTCGAGGCCCACCCTATTGTCAACTAAATCTATAATTAGTTTATTGTATTGAATATAAATGTATATTCTATATTTGCAAATAAATTAATTACTTATCAACTCAAATGTACTTTTTATTTGGGAAAATATTTTGGCTGAATGTTGAGTAAAAAAATATCTATAATTAGTTTATTGTATTGAATATAAATGTATATTCTATATTTGCAAATAAATTAATTACTTATCAACTCAAATGTACTTTTTATTTGGGAAAATATTTTGGCTGAATGTTGAGTAAAAAAACATTTCCACAAAAAACTATTAGATTTGTGTTTATAATGAGTTAAAAGACTTTATGTTTGAGTGCTTTAGTTCTGCAATCATTCGCCAAAAAACCCAATTTTTGTCAATTAAATAACAAACTCTTCATAAGAATTGAATTGAATATAAACTCAACGATAGATATAAAGTAATTTAGATTTAAATAATACTTTTCTAGTGAAATATAAATTGAGTTTGAGATGACATACAAAGTTTGTAAAGTCTAATTCAATAGTTTTTAAATTTAATATAAAGTTTAATATTTAATTTGAAACTATGGACGAAGAATCTTCTTTTATAAACTATATTTTCACTAACTTTTGGAAAATTAATGGCAATCCTTACTCATCCAGCTATCCGTTGATGGGGTCCGGGCCCTGGAATTTCTTATCCATAATATGTTTTTATTTATATTTTGTGAAAATTATTGGTCCGAGACTTATGAAAGAGAGGCCGGCATTTGATTTACTATTTCTTATACGACATTATAATCTATTGATGTCTTTATTCAATCTGTGGTTCTTTGTAAAGATCCTATCGATCACTAACTATGGCATTGACACCTGGATGTGTCACAAACATTCAATATCAGGTAATTTATTTTATAACTTAACATTTAATTAACATTAGTATTTAAAAGTTTTAAAATAAAGTCTTAATTAGTATAAAATCAATATATTATAATTATTCATTATAACTCAATTTTATTTAAACTATTATCTAACTAGATAATTATCAATTAATAGTTTTTGAAATTGTATTTTCCTTTAATAAAATTAATTATGCTAATTGTTTAGTTATATACAGTAATTAGTTTAATAAAAAATTATAATATTTTACAGATGAGAGACTGAAAGAGTCGATATTCTTGGGATGGATTCTCCTAATATCACGTCTCGTGGAACTAATGGACACAATATTCTTCACATTACGAAAGAGTGATCACCAGATCTCCACACTTCACATCTTCCACCACACAATAGTTCCCATTTGTATTTGGTTTCCATTGAAGTTCACGCCAGAAGTGCACTACGGGTTCGCACCACTCATCAACTCATTCATTCACGTCATTATGTATTCCTATTACTATTTATCCACATTTGGACCCTCCGTACGGCCATACCTTTGGTGGAAACGACACTTAACTGCACTTCAATTGATTCAATTTGTGTTAATTATAGTGAATTGTTTGCGGGGTTTCGTTATACCCGACTGTCAATTGAACCAAACATTTATGTCGACAATAGTATTCATTGCATTGATTTTGTTTGTGTTATTCCTATCCTTTTATTTCAAAACATATAACAGAAAAATCCCAAAACAATCTCAAATACTACTGATTGATAGGAGTAATGATAATAATAAGCTAAATAATAATGACTGTAATTTTAATAGAAAATCTAGTTATTAGTTAGCTGCAGAAAAGGCACTTTTTTAACCTTAAAATAAAGGTAAAAATTTAGGGAAAATTCCGGTTTAAAACTCAATGACACATACACTTGAAATTGAAAGTACTCAATATACATTCATAATAAAAATATTCATACTTTTCTCTAGAAATTCTTACAAATAGAGTGTTAAATAACTTATTTTAATATTTTAATTAATTCTTTCAAACAAACTTTAAAACAATAAATGTACCAGTATATATAAATAAAATAAAAATGATTTTCTATTCTTATACAACCTGTAGTTAGATTTACAAGAATTTTGTCTATTAAATGTTTAATGAATGCATTTTCAATATAGATATAGATATGAATATAGATATAATGAGAACTAATTATGAAAACTAATCAAATCGTGACACAAGAAATAAGACAAATAAATGGAAAGAATGCATAAACTGATGGCAACGGCCATAAAGACCCGCATCACCCATATGTCACTCGTGAGGACATCTTTCATGGCATCGGAACAGTACTGGTGTCTGAGTGTATCGGTCTTGTTATGAGTGCACAGGTATTCACTGCCATTGGATTTGACATCTTCTTCGCACTTATTATAATCGGCGCAACAAATACAGGGCAGAGTGTGGGGCCTGTCGTGATAATAGCCGGTCAGTCGCTGTCTGTCCCACTCATCCCAACCACAGCAGTCGTATTGTTTCATAACTTCGGTGATCTCGAGTTGAAGGTGATGCAAATTGAATGCCTTAACTAACCCTGCTTCATTTGACACCCTTTCCTTGTGGTACTCCATGAATGAGTTCTCGGCGTATGAGTTGAACAGAATTGTGAGCTTTTCTTTGTAGATGAAAGACAGTGATATGGATTGACTCAGTAATACGATGACCACAATCATGAGGATAGGGCTGAGCACCAGCTTTGGCATCGACTCCGATAGAAAGCCCGTCGTTCCGCAGTACGAGCCTATGAACATGAATATAGCGCCTAAAATGATACCTAATATGAAATAATTTGTAAATATTTATTATTATTTGCGAAGGAAATGGGTGTGAAAGTAGAGACCGAAGTGAAAGTGAAGATTGAAATCATAGGGTATCTCAGAGTTGGCGTCATTGGCAGCCGAAACGATAATCAATGCAAAGCTAATCAAAATTAGGGTCAGATCACAGACGCAGAGTAGAGTGCCGTATGTGTTGAACACCCGGTTCATTAGCATCGTCGGCACGTTTTGCTGATCCATCGCTATAGGGATTACACGTTTGAAAACTTTTTAAAAAGTTTTATGGTTTGGATTTACAGCAAGTGAATACAGAACTAATACAGTAGTCAAACATTCAACATGTCTTTACACTAACTGTTGTATAAAAGTGTAAATTATATTTAAATCTTAGAAATGTTACTAAACATAAACTCGTAAATAGAAATTATCACGTTCATGTTTTATTGTTGTATTACACATACTGTACAGTATATGGTTATAGAAATTTACACAATTAGACAATATTTAGCAAAATCTGTCTTTTAATTGATATAAAAGTTTATTTGAATGCATTGTTTTTGTATTAGTCTTAATATAAACAACGATTAATGTGTAGATTTGGGGAAACTTGGAGTCCGTCACAGAGATCTTCAGAGATATCATTGAATAGACTAATTGTGAACATCTTTTGTGGTTTAGTTTCACACACTTCACGAAAATCATCTATAAATTTGCGGCAAAAGTCTGTATATCCCTGTCTATTGAATCTCACGTCATGTTTCACATGAATAACCGATAGGTTTAGGCACTCATTCAGAGTCTGACACAAAACGGCCGTCTTATCCATCATATCCTCGAAATAGATAACCAAACGTCGAATTGATGTGAATTTTGCGATCAAATGAAACATTTGTCGAAAACATGTCAAACACTGACTCTCTCTGAGATCGCAGACCATCGATGTCTTGCTCAACACCAATGTCTTGAGCGCCGGAAAACACTTAAGTAGGGCTTCAAAGGCCGTCTCTTTTAGGTGACACGAGAACAGATAAAGTGTCTTAACTTTCGTGAATCGGTTCCGGGTTTCTGTATATTCATAATCGATAAATCGCTGACAAATGAGCGCCAAATATGTGAGATCTGTCTGTCTTTGGGCCACACTTTGAAATCCCTGCCATTGATGCGAATCGCGGCTCAACTTATATCCAAATGCCTTCAGATTCATGTGTCCAGTGATCAGCTCCAGTGACTCTTCGGACAGCACAAGGCTCTCGATATACAGATAATCCAAGTCTTTAGCACTACTTTCCAGCAGTTTTTGTGTTAGTTCTCGACTCAACCGAATCCTTGGGTGCGACCAAAGTCTCAACGATTTGATCGTTTTGGGCAAACATTTGAATAGTTCTCTCATTTTCTGATTGCTATTCAAGAAGACAATCAATTTCTTCAATTGTGTCAACTCTGACACCAATTCGATGACATCTTCCGAGTGTTTGCCGCAAAGGTTTGCCAGAAATTTGGTCACATTCTTGGCGGTCATGAGTTGACCCAATCGTCGGAACTGCTGTCCATTAAAGCCATGACAACCGCCGCATATGAAGAGACTGTTAAGCGCTTGGAAACCATCGATGATGTCATAGAGAGTCTGGAAGTCGGTCTCGAAATGACTGATTGCCAAATACTGGATGTTTGGGAACTTCCGGCTAATCCATAGCATCCTCTCCTTGTTGGCCATCAGACATGGAGTTCCGTCTGAGTGACAGTCCAGGAAACGGTCGGGAAAGGCGTATGTGTTGGGAATGATATCACCCTTTGGTAGGCATTGATTGACTCCGATGTGTGAATTGATGGCAATATTCTTGAGGCGCCGGAAGTGATAGTTGGCGCACATCTGGAACTGTTGGGACACTCTCTCCAATCGTATCAAATCAGTTGTGTCCAGATATGACATCACATGAATCAATACATCGATATTCAACACAATTGATGTCCTGATAGGGGTTGAGGTGTTGATGGCATTGCTGTCAATGGTATCACATTCCTCACTGTCTTTTACATTCATTTCTGTTTACAACCGTTTCATCGATGTATTAGTAATTTATTTTTCATTTAAAACATTTAATTTACTAATTTAATTTAATTGTTTACTACTTATTTATTGCAACTATCTCGTGATTATACTGTATTATTAGTAATTTATAGTACTGTACTTGGTAATGCATTTGGTATGGACAAATGTTACGGAGTTTTATAAATGAAATAAAAAGAAATATGTAAAGCAATGAAGATTTTTTAGCTTAAAAAATTTATAATAAATTAATTTAATATTTTATTTTTAAGACATAAATTTAAATATCGTTTAAATTTTATTTTCTAATTATACTTTAGAGTTCAGTAAATACATCACGGTACTACAGATACTGTATATCAACCTAATAATTGTGAAGTTTATGTTTGAATTACTTAAATAAAACTTTAAACATCAATGATATGATAGCAACAGACGATTACTAGAAAATGAACTAATAATTCAATTTGAAACAAGTGTCACCATATGATCACTGTTTATAAAGTGATGGATGTTTAAGACTTATACTCCACTCATGTTTATTCAGCTATTGATAACACATTTGCTAAAAGTTAAAGAGTTTGCTCATAAATAGAAATCATTGTTCGTGTCATTAGATTTGGTTTTGGCAGCAAAATGTGGAAATCAATACAATATTTGTCAGTAATATTAGCTGTGGTTTGTGTCCAGCAGTTAAGGGCCGACACACCGGCTAACTGTACGTATGAAGACATACGAGGGGTTTGGGAGTTCTCGGAGTCGGAAGCGTCTGCCGAACGCTCGGAGGTCTGCAACGGATCGCAGGTTTTGCTCAATAAAGTGAGGTTTGAGTTGTTGTTCCCTAACATTGCTGTCGACAACTTCGGTAACAAAGGTTTGTTCATTCAATTGAAATTTCCTCGATATATGTATTAATACAATATTTCATAAAATCATAGTTTCTATAAATATAAACTTTTTATTTAATTAATTAAATTGATTTAAAAATACTGGATGCAAATGAAATGTCAGTGCGTTTTACACTCTTATCATTAAACTGATGATTACACTTATGTACTAAACAAGTGATCAAATATTGTAATATTGAATACTAAATGACTTTTATTGGCTGAATTGACCAGGAATTTGGACAATAATTTATAACCAGGGCTTCGAAGTTGTCATTAATTATCGCAAATATTTTGCGTTTTCTGATTACCGCCAAAATGGCACAAATGTGAGCAGTTTGTGTCACCAAACCAGACCCGGGTGGTCGCACGACGTGTTGGGACATAACTGGGCCTGTTTTACGGGACTCCGGATCAGTGGTAGTCATGAGCCCAAGACATACACCACTAAACTTGGAGGTCCTGTCGGTGTGTATCGACAGAACCCGCACTCTATTCAGCAAATTAACTCAATTCAAAGTCTATGGACAGCCAAACATTACCCACATTTAGAGGGAAAGCCGTTGAGAGATATCCATAATATGAAAGGTGGACCCAAATCGAGAATCTTAAGGTATTACAGATTTTCAGACATTTTAAATGAATTATTAAAATAAATATTGTAATCATTTTTAATGAAAATCTACTGTTTATTGCAGTCCTCCAGCACCAGCGGCCGTAACTGATAAAGATTGGAGGGATGCCCTACAACTGCCCGACCACTTTGATTGGAGAAACATTAGTGGAGTTAATTATGTGTCGCCCGTCAGGAACCAGGGTATGGGTTGTTGACACAAATTCTTATTAATGGCAATTATATTGTATTACAATATACTGTAGGCTCGTGTGGCAGTTGTTACGCGTTTTCATCGATGGGTATGATTGAGGTATATATGACACAATGAGACGCTTACTAACCTAACCTAACTTAACATAACCATATATATAACCAAATAATAGGCCAGGCTCCGAGTTCAATCCAATAATACGGTTCAGGAAATACTGTCGCCGCAAGATGTGGTCAGTTGTTCAGAGTATGCACAGGGATGTGACGGCGGTTTCCCATATCTTATTGCAGTAAATATAAAATTATTTTAATTATACTTGTAATTATCATTTTTTAAAAATCTGTAATAAATGTGTCAGGGCAAATATGCGCAAGACTTTGGTTTAATACCGGAGTCGTGTTTCCCATACACAGGTGCCAGTGACCAGTGCCACGAGAAAAAGTGTCGACGCTATTACACCGCGCACTACGACTACGTGGGCGGCTATTACGGCGCTTGTAATGAGGAGGCGATGCGGTTAGCACTGGTACGCAAGGGACCCATTTCCGTGTCCTTTGAAGTGTACGACGACTTCATGTCATACTCGGGCGGCATATATAAGCACACGGGTGTCACACATGGTCTCCAGTTTGAACCCTTTGAGATCACCAATCATGCGGTGCTGGCCGTGGGGTATGGCGTCGAAAATGGACAGAAGTACTGGATTGTTAAGAATAGTTGGGGAACGGGATGGGGGGAAAGTGGGTACTTCCGCATCAGTCGCGGCGGTAATGAGTGTAATATAGAGAGCATTGCCGTCGAAGCCATTCCTATTCCTTAAGAGATATTGAATATTAGAAAACATATTATTATTTTTAATACATTTGTTTAATTCTTAAAATCATTTTTATAATACTTGAATTGTAGTAGAATCTTATTAGCAATTTGAAAATGTGCATGATGTACTTTAATTATTAACTAAATAAGTGCATAAATTATTAACTTTGAAGTAATCCTATCGATTAAGGAAAATATTCTGTAGTGTAATGATTTGATTATTATTTTTAAGAATTACCATTTTATATGACCAATATCAATTTGTTATGCATATATTTTATTGTAATAATTTCAATAAATTCTCAATAATCTTTAATAAATAGATTTAATAAACACAGATTCATTTCACCATTTATTTTAAATCAGGTGTTGGATACTCTGAGGTCTGAGTTAGGATTTCAATTACATTGTGTTATAAAAAATTATTTCACGGTTTGTCTGAAATTATTAACAAAATAAGCTTTATAATTATTATCATATCATTTATATCATTAATATTATAATCAGTACTTAACATTATTAATACACTTATAACTGCTATCGCAACTATTACCAAAATACAGTACAGTATATAAATTAAAAAGTTCAATAGTTATTTAATTCATATAAAAAACTAGTAGATAATGTTGAAAATAGTCTATTGTTTGTGTGTATTAGTATTGGTGGTGGGCGTGAGGGCCGACACACCGGCCAACTGTACGTACGAAGACATACGAGGGGTTTGGGTGTTCTCGGAGTCCGAGAGGTCGGCCGAGAGGACCGAGAAATGCGACGGAACACAGAAATTGGTGAATAAAGTGAAGATTGAGTTGCAATATCCTAACACCGCGGTCGACCAGTTTGGCAATAAAGGTGCCCAACAGATATGAAACTATACTAAAATAGTTGTCAATATATTTATCAACCCCTAACAGGCACGTGGACTCTGATCTATAACCAGGGTTTCGAAGTGATCGTAAACAACAGAAAGTATTTCGCATTTTCAGACTACAAACAGGAGGGCTCTAAAGTGACCAGTTTTTGTCACCGCACGAGTCCCGGCTGGTCTCACGACGTGTTGGGCCACAACTGGGCCTGTTATACAGGGGAACGGACTACTGGTGGTCACGAGCCCAAGACATACATCGATGAGAGACCGCAGATGAACGGCGTGTTCACTCAAAGTCATGAAGAGATTAAAAAGATTAACTCAATTCAAAACTCATGGACCGCTATATATTACCCACAGTTTGAGGGAAAGTCAGTCAACGATATGTATTTGATGAAAGGCGGCCCCAAATCTAGAATTTTGAGGTGAGTCCTAGTCTTATGAATATATTAAGTGGTGTTTAATAAAAAAATATAAATTCAATACATCCAGTCCCCCATCTCCAGCACCCGTTACCCCAGAAGTTCGCCGATTGGCAGCACAATTACCCGAACACTTTGACTGGAGAGATGTAAATGGAGTCAGCTTTGTCTCAGATGTTAGAGATCAAGGTAAATTTTATTTTAAAAAATATATAATACTTGTTATATAAATTAAATACAGTACTGTATGTCCATAATCTATACTTAATTGATAGGCGGTTGTGGCAGTTGCTATGCTTTCGGAGCGCTGGGTATGATAGAGGGGAGGCTACGAGTGCTGACCAACAACACCGAGAAGGTGGTGCTCTCGACCCAAGATGTGGTCAGCTGTTCGGCCTATTCCCAGAAATGTGACGGAGGTTTCCCGTACCTCATTGCCGTAAGCAATATATTATTTTCAGTACCAAAAAATAATTTAATTAAAAAAATAATATATAACTATAGGGCAGATATGGACAGGACTATGGTTTGACACCTGAGGCTAACTTTCCGTACACGGGACGTAACGACCCCTGTACTACTAAAGCCAATGCTGAGCGTTACTATACGGCTCACTACTATTACGTGGGTGGTTTTTACGGGGCCTGCAATGAGGAGCTGATGAGATTGGCTCTGGTCAACAACGGACCCCTCGCCGTCTCATTTGAGGCCTACGACGACCTCTTTGCCTACAAAACCGGAGTCTATAGACACACCAAAAGTAACGCTCAATTCAATCCGTTTGCGATCACTAATCACGTGGTGGTGATCGTGGGCTACGGCACCGACGCTAAGTCGGGTGAGAAGTACTGGATCGTCAAAAACAGTTGGGGCGGCAATTGGGGACAAAAGGGATACTTTCAGATCAGTCGTGGAAACAATGAGTGCAATATTGAAAGCATCGCCGTCGAGGCCATCCCTATCCCTAATCATAATATTTAATCTGATTTATGTTATAAATAAAATATATTTGTGAATCAGTTCTAGTGATTGTTTGATTTAATTATTTTAAAATATAATATAAGAATTGTTCAAGCTTTAAAAGTACAATACTTAAAACAAAAAAGTACAGTATTAGGTGTCCCTGATATTGTCTGACATCTAAAATCATTGTCATTTGATGATCCCATAATTTTATAAAGTTCCTTGAGTGCATTAAGTGTTTGAAGCATGATAACAGTTTTGGTAATTATTAGAAAAGTATTTTAATTTTATGAGAATCTTAAAATTGATATGTTTTTGTTTTAATTTATGAGTACATAACAGATGTATCGAAATAAGTTCAGACAAACAAACAATACAGTGAATGGATTCTAAGAAAAATTGTGAATTCAATGACAATTAGATATGACATTGGATTAGATTTAAAGAACAAAGATATGTTCACTTCACTTGTAATCAGATAATAATATCTGTTATCCAATAAACTAAAGTTTGACTCTTATATTTATTATTTGTAAAGCAATTAAACTAAATATCGATTTTTATTGCAGAATTGTGACAATTTTCTTGAAACCTATTTTTGATAACATAATGGGATTGTCTTAAGTCTAACTCTCCAACAGAGTTATCAATAGATTTAACTAATTTATATATAAAAGCATAATTTATTATTAATAGAGATTATAACAAAATGTTGAAAATAACTCATAGTCTGTGTGTCTTATTACTAGCGGTTTGTGTCCAACAGTTAAGGGCCGACACACCCGTTAACTGTACGTACGAGGAGATCAAAGGGGTTTGGGAGTTCTCAGAGTCATCCAGGTCTGCTGAAAGGACTGAGGTGTGCGATGGCACTCAGAAATTGGTCAATACAATTAAGATTGAGCTCCAGTACCCTAACATTGCCGTCGACGAGTTTGGACACAATGGTTTGTATACTAAACTAAAATTATATGTAAAAATGTAAATATTAAATTGCCTTGATCACCAGGCACATGGACCCTAATCTATAATCAGGGTTTTGAAGTGACTGTCCATAATCGCAAATACTACGCTTTCTCAGACTATAAGAAAGAGGGCACAAAAGTGATCAACATTTGCAACCAAACCACAAATGGTTGGTCGCACGACGTGTTGGGCCACAACTGGGCCTGTTATCAGGGAAAGAGGGTCACCGGACAACACACAGAGAAAGTACATTATCTCGTCGATACCGAAGCGCTCAGTAATGGTGTGTTTAGACAAAATCCCGACACAATCGCCAAAATTAACTCAATCCAGAGCTCATGGACTGCCAAACATTACCCGCAGTTTGAGGGAAAGTCACTGAAGTATATGCATAACATGCACGGAGGACCTAATTCTAGGATATTTAGGCAAAACCTTTTAATTATACTTTTAAACTCAATGCTAATTATAAAACTTGTGATAAATCTAGTTATCCATCGCCGGCACCGGTAACCGAAGAAGTGCGACGACTGGCCGATGAATTGCCGGAATCGTATGATTGGAGAAATGTTAGTGGAGTTAGTTATGTGACACCCGTTAGAGACCAGGGTATGTATGGACTGGTAGTTAACATTAAAAGACCTTAAATATATTTTATTGATATATTGAGGTGGTTGTGGCAGTTGCTATGCGTTCGGGTCGTTGGGTATGATCGAGGTAAATTGATATTTCATATTAAATTCTCATAGTAAATTATGATATCTAACATCCCAATTATATTCATCATGTGTTTTCATGTTTTGATAATCAATTTTCTATTTGCATTTTTGTGTGACTAAAACATTTTATTTGATACAGTTCTTTTCACATAATGTCTACATTCTTTTATTTATTTATTTATTATATATTTATTTATTTAAAATTTCAGGGGCGGCTAAAAGTGGTGACCAATAATAAACAAACAGTTGATCTCTCGGAACAAGATGTGGTCAGCTGTTCGGCCTATAATCAGGGCTGTGCCGGAGGTTTCCCATACCTGACCGCTGTACGTGTGTCTCACTTAATATTATTTATATAAAAGTTATTAAAAATTATGTTCACTTTTAGGGCAAATACGGACAAGATTTCGGTCTTACTCTTGAAGCCAATAACCCCTATAAGGGAGTGGACTCCAAATGTGGGACCAAACAGGGAGCGGAACGGTATTACACCGCTTACTATAACTATGTGGGCGGGTATTACGGGGGCTGTAATGAGGAGTTGATGCGGATATCACTAGTCAGAGACGGACCCCTCGCCGTGTCCTTCCAGTACGGCATGTTTGACGACTTTGTGTCGTACGGGTCCGGCATTTATAGCCCGACTCCTGTCAAACACGACAACGGAGAGTACAACCCCTTCGTTGAGGTCAACCATTCAGTACTGATTGTCGGTTACGGCGTTGACTCCAAGACTAATGAGAAGTATTGGATCGTTAAGAACTCATGGGGCGCCTCCTGGGGTGACCATGGTTATTTCAAAATAGCAAGAGGGAAAAATACGCAAGGAATAGAGAGCATCGCCGTTGAGGCCATTCCTATTCCCAATTAAATACTGTAACAACTAATTGTTGAATCAAATTGAAAATAAAAATAAAATATTGTATATTTCATAAACATATCACAAACCTATTTTCAATCAATAATTATCAATTTATAAACTAAACTTTGAGTTGTAGTTATTACTTATAATGGAAAAACAGGGTCTTTGTGAGACTCATACCTTTTTAGACGTTGGAAATTGTTGCCAACAATTAAATCAGTTATACAAATTTGGCTTAATTGTAGTTTATTGCCTGGTTATAAAATTATTGTAATTTGTTTATTAGTTTGTTATCTAGTATCATACCCGTTCAGTATCAATGTTTCAGATTTTCATTGAAAATTATAACAAAAACAAATTTTACACTTATATTTAGTATATTTAGTACTAATTAAAATAGAGTTTTCTATAGTATTTATTTAAGCAATTGTAAATACTCAATAAATTACAGTTGTTTTGTACTCATTATATGAATGGCGATATATTTTATAAAATACCTTCAAAATCACAATAATAGTTTTAAAGTATGCAATCATTTAAGACAACCTAGGTCCTAGGGCAAGTGGACCCATTTTGTAAAATACATTTTAGTGCAAAAATTCTGGGTCTAAGTCCTCGATAATAAACAACAGATTAAGTGAACCAGACTTTCGCCTATAATCAGATTGTTTACACGTTTTCTCATTTAACTAAACTGTATATAAAAGCCTAAACTAATCAGTAGTTTAATCAAAACTCGTCAAAGTATTTGGTGTTTGACATTATTGTAGTATTTTATGTGATATTAATCAAAATTAAAGTATTTTACTCACTTTTAATATATAGCGTTCTGAACTTACACTCGTTCCTCCTATAATTCGGAGGCCAACTCAACTCATTTGGTGACCTTTAGTAACTTGCTGTTGACATGACTCCCGGGCCCACCAATGTTAGCGCTAGGGTTAGGGCGGCTACTGGTCTACCGGTTGTTAATCATATGGATCCGCAGTTTTTTAAGGTTTGTTCATAAATAATATTAAGAAGTTACAACATTATAGATTTAATATTATATTAATTTTAACTACAGGTGCTCCGGGACGTGTCGGCTGGCATTCGCTACGTATTTCAAACTCGCAACCAATACTCGTTGGCCATTACCGGGTCGGGTACCTGTGCTATGGAAACAGGCATTTGTAATCTCCTTGAAAGGGGCGATACGTTTTTAGTGTTAGTGCACGGCCTATGGGGGGAACGGGTGGCACTCATGGGCCGTAAACGTGGCTATAAAGTGATTGAACTGAAAATCAATCGTTTGGGAGATGTGTTTGATTTGAAGCAAATCGAGGGTTTGTTTTACCGGACATATCATTAGAAATTGAAAACTTCACGTAAACTATACTATTATTTCAGAGGCCGTAATACAACACAAACCACAGCTCCTGTATGTATGTCACGGGGACTCGAGTGTAGGGACTCTGCAACCATTGGACAATATCGGAAATATATGTCACCGGAATGGGTGTCTACTTCTGGTGGATGCGGTGGTGTCCCTCTGCAGTGCACCCATTAATACGGATCGACTGGAGATTGACTGCATATACTGCGGGGCACAGAAGGCACTGTCGGGTCCGCCCGGGGTCTCACTCATCAGTCTAAGCAGTGGTGCCGTCAGACGTATAAAAAACCGCAAAACCGATGTCGACTCCTATTATATGGACATCAATTGGTTGGCCAAAGCGTGGGGTCTGGACGACGATAATAACCATCAGTTCATCTATCACTACACGCCCGCCATTCCCCTCATGTATGGGCTGAGGGAAGCGCTGGCTATAGTGGCGGAGGACGGCCTATACAACACCATCGAAAGGCACGGCAAGTGCAGTCTGTTTGTGCAAAAACACATCACATCTCTGGGGCTAAAGTTTTTGGTGGAGAAGCCGGAGTACAGACTGCCAACCATTTTGGCGGTTGTCGTTCCCAATGATATTGATGGCAACGAAGTCGTTAAACATTTGTCGGATTTTTATAACATCACAATCGCTGGGGGTTTGGGACCGACAGCCGGAAAGATATGGAGAATCGGTTTTCTCGGTGTCAACGCTAATGATAAAAGTGTTGGTGTTTTGTGTCGNTATTGATGGCAACGAAGTCGTTAAACATTTGTCGGATTTTTATAACATCACAATCGCTGGGGGTTTGGGACCGACAGCCGGAAAGATATGGAGAATCGGTTTTCTCGGTGTCAACGCTAATGATAAAAGTGTTGGTGTTTTGTGTCGTGCCTTAAGTGAAGCCATTAGTGAACAGAGAGAAAGATCTGCAAAATTGTGAACAAATAATTCATTTATTAATTTGTTTATCACATCATGTCATTCATAGATAAATTGCAATTTGAATTTATAAATAATAAAATGAATTTTGTAATAAATTTTTATTCTGTTTTTTTGTATATTAGTACTACAGTAGTAATAATTATTTTGATATAATGCATGACATACTTTCTATAAAAACTTAATTAACTCAAATCACTTTTATAAACACTATCCTAATATACAGTAAATATTGAATGTCTTTAATTAATTAACTATCTAATAGTATTTTAATTTGAAAGCAATGTTTACTCGATGTTTTATTTCTTATTTTATTTTACTCACATGTATGTTACAAAAAGACAGTTTAATCTTTGCTTATTAATTATTAATTAACGATAGTTTCAAAGGAGTTGATGGCAGATGTGGAGGAAACCATCAATTGGCCTTTCTGTTCAATTACGGTGACCCCAGATTCAGCTACCCGTCCATCACTAAGATTAATAAAGCATGCGATATAAACTTAAAGTAAATATCATAGACAGTTATAACTAATAAATTTTCAAGTTTTAATTAAAATTTTAGTGATTTGAAGGACGACTTGGTTAAAGCGGTAGAAAAAGAGTACCCTGGTAAGAAACAGGTATCCAAAGCGGCACAGGTATTGTTCTCATCGCCACTCATACCTGAGTCTGAGTGTATCAAAGCCAAGGCCCCAATGGTTCGCACCGGCGATAAACAGGCACAGATTTTGAATCAAAAGCGCTTTGAAGCCAAAGATTATCGACGATTTCTAGAGACGGCATTCATAGAGGCCTCCCGTCCCGGCACTCGCATCACATTATCACAAATTATTTGGTATTTTAAATTAAAATTTTTATCTAATCTATTAAATTACTAGTTAAGTTTTTGACTTAAACTACTCATTAAGTTATGTGAGGCTATGGATAGTTGAGACCATACCTAAGTATCCTCAGTCAAGTGGTGTACAAAAACGTGTTGCAGATCATATCAAACAAGTAATGGATCCGGTGTTAGACTACTTGGACTCAATCGCCGATAAGAGGACAGACAGCTGTGACTTTCAAAAGATACCTAAATCTAATTCAACACCACGTTTCAAATCTATTCAATTAAATCTGATTGATGCCATTAATAAGTTAACATAACTTAAGAATTTATTCACACATTATATTAATATAAAGTTGTCTTAATTTTATTCGTAATAAATAGTTATTAAAATTTTATATACAATTAGAGATAAATCCAGTAAAAGATCTCGTAATACATTAATGATAAATAAATACAATCATAAAAATAATGTGTTGAATGCAATCATTGATTGCCAATCAATAAACAATTAGTCAAATGTTATGATAAGAAATGACACAATGATTTCATGGTCTAACACCTAATCCTCGTTCAAAGTAGTGGTTATACCAAACATAAGCCCAAACCCAATGGCCATTGAAATGAATTGCATGAATGGCTTGAGTTTGTCTACTCTAGTCTTTTGGAGTATTTCAAAGAAAACAATGTATAGTATAGTTCCCGAGGCGATGGCACTCAACAGTATGACCACCGGATTGGCCTCGTGGTCGGCCGACTGGACCGACCGCTCGGCCCCTATCACCACAAATATACCGATGGGTGACATAATGGAGAAGACAGTCATATGAAAGACGACAAACAGAAAGTTTTGGCACTTTTCGTATAACTCGACCCCAATAATCAGCGCTATCATCAGCTTATGGGAGGCGATGGCTATAAATACTGTCCATATTTCCGACGGGTGCTGTCGGGCCGCTATGGATATGCCGTCAAATATGGAGTGAACAGAAAACGTACAGATTATGACTAATCCGTGAAGAAATCGTGAGATTAACTGCTTGTTTATCTGAATGTCTTCAGTGCCTACAAATCACAAATATTTTTATTTATCCACAATTTATAACTAATCATTCAAAGGTATAGTTGACTCACTTCTGTGTTCAATGACTATAACGATATCACTGCCTATACTGTGACTACTGTTCCGCCGGGAGCTCCGGGTATGCTCTCCATTAAGTATAGCCGACGTCTCGTCGTATTCCTTAACACTGGAGGTATAGGAGCCGTGGCTGACAGTAGTATCAGATTTTACACGATTACTAATAACGGTATTATTATTGACAAGTGTTTGGTCGTCTAATATATACCCAGTCTTTCTCCTGTCCAGCAATGAGTGCATCACTACTTCCGTCAAATAAATGGCAAAAAATCCCAAACAAATGGCAATTTCCAGATACGGAAGCCTCAGATCTTCAATACTTGTGGCATTATGTCCGTCGGATCCGTTACTGAATATCGAGTGATTACTCCTGAGGTATACCTCGAAGTTATTTCTCACGTCAGGTATCATATGCACGAAAACCGTGAAGAATAGTATTCCTCCGCCTATTTGTGTCACTATTTGGACGTAAAAATTAGAGGAAAGTTTGATGTCGTCCTTGTCTTCGGAGGTCTGATCTCTTGGTTTCTGTCGTGTCTTTCGTCGGACCCATGACTGATACCACAGCACCGGTACTGTTCCCACCAGAAGTGTCAATAAGAATAATACAACCGCCGCCAGGACTCGAGTTATTAATAAACTCATGGCTTAATAAATAAATTAAATGTCATTTAAATTTATTCATTTGTATCAGTATTTGCGCAAACATTTGATTAATTGTTATTTTAATTAAAATTTTTTAATGAGATATTAATTACAAATAAGGAATGCAAATAAATTGTGAAATTATAGAACGGATGAAGTATTATAACTATGTCATCACGTAACGTTAGTCATTATAATTTATAGTATTAATTTTATATTTTATTTTAACAACTTATAAGTTGTCTATTAACAAAAGAGTATTAAATAATTTAATAATTTTAATAATAAATGTCACTACAATAATTTTCATTACTAAATAAATTTGTAGTATTTCAAAGTTGCTAGGGAGGGTTTCATTTTATGCATGTATTGGCGCTAATATATTTGAAAGTATACTAAATTACGTTAATTTATATGTATTGTAAAATACGGTTTAAAAGTTTTAAAAATAAAAATATTATTACGCTTACCCTAAACACAGGTGTATCAAATACTGTATATATAATTTTATATTAAAATGTGAATGCGAAATATATTAAGAAATGATATCAAATACAGTACTAAACATAGAATAAAATTCATAGGTTTTTATAAGTGATACAAATAAAATGTGACATTTAATTGATGTGTCTATTCGTGAATATGTAATAATTTTAAGGGGCGTTTAGTGAAGTATATATTTTTAATCACAATTGAAAGAAACGAGACACTACTTGTATATTAAATCACTGTAGCTCAACATTAAACAATTTGACTGGTAAGCTAATACACTTAAAAAAATCCTACTTTCAATTAATGCAAAAGTGATTTTTACACAATTAATTGTTTATTTAATGTGATTAGTTATGATTAGTGTTTCTAGTCTTTGAACTCAGATCTGGATGAAAATAGTGGAAAAATGATAAAAACACTTTTGACATCATTTTTAAGATTATTTTATGCAAACAAAGTCACATTTATATA